TGAAATTTTTTTTTTTTTTTTTGTTTTTGCTGTATTTATGGTGGAATTTCTGAATATTTATAAGTTTGTATAATTTTCTTCTGATTTGTTCAATTTGTATTAATCATCACATAAACGGACGCTTGTTAGTTGGAAGATTATGTAAAACTTGTGAAATACCAAATACAGAAAAATTCAACTAAGACACAATTTCTTTACTATTAATACTAAATGTGAAGTATAAATTTACCACTTCATTCACAGGAGGTTTTCCATAGACATGACTTTGTGCTGTTGATTGATTTGATTGATAACGTGACGACTTTCAATGAAATAAATAAATACATTTCAACATTATATTTCCTCCACTGCACTCTTTAAGATCACCTCCCAGTTTAGTCCTGGGGAACTTTACTCACCTTGTCATTGTGGAAGGACTTTTTGCCATTTTATTCCATAGTAACAGGGTACAGCATGAAAAACAGATGGGTAAGCTCATGTTTAGCCCTGGAAATACACCAAACTGTGGAGGATGGATCCTTTTCTTGAGTTTCTGGGATTAAAAACAAACACAAGGTTTTTATGATACAATAATAATACATTTTATTTTAAAAAGCACCTTTCTGGACACTCAAGGACACTGTACAGAATAAAAACACAAATCATTCAATGAAACAAAAGTAGACATAAGCAAAACAAAGATAACAAACAAGGCACTCGAAAATTCATGGTTGATATGTGGTTATGAAGAGATGAGTTTTGTCACATATGTGTAGCAGAATCCGCATACATAAGAAAACAGGTAACTACGCTAGATTTTAGTCAGTGGTCCAACATATTTTTGGGTGGTATTTGTTTGATAGGAAGACTCAGGAGTGTGATCCCCCTGTAGTTGGAACACACCCTCCAGTCCACCTTTTTACTGAACCACCACCTCTGTCTGCCAGTCCAGTCCTGCTGGATTGCCAGGAGGTTTGCAAATACGAGTAAAAAATGTAGGCGTAAGAGGAAACGGTTAACTTGTTGATTTTCAAACTAATCTGGAAAAACCCCAGACTGAATATTTCAAGACTTTTCATTCAGGCTATTTTGAATCATAAATTTGCCTAACTGTGTCCTTGTGTGCAGCACATGCAGCTTTGTCACTGTCTAAGGAAAAGAAGTCATCCCATGGGACACAAGCACTCAACGCTGGAACATCCTGCACAATATGTTCAGGATTTCTCACTTTTATGTCATAAAACATGTACACTAATCAAAGATGGTGTGACGAACTGAAAATCCACTCCGACACCCCCTCCCCAGCACATGTTCAGCCCTCTCATGCACACAGTTAATGTGTAAACAGTTATGTGACTGTCGGTCATCTGTAGCCTAGTGAACTAGACCAAATTCTTGCTTTGCAAAGAATGGTCTAGGCATGCTCCATTGGAACCTCAGCAGCTCCTACCAGGACTCTGGCTAGCCAATCACAGCTCTCTAGAGGGGTTTCAAACACATAAAGAGCTGTGATTGGTCCATAATGGTGGACCAATCATAGTGCTCTATCTGCTTAGTGAACAAATCACAAAGCTTTATCTGCTTTGTGGGCCAATCAGGGCCCTCTATATGCCTGGTGGGTGGGATGATGCAACAGAGTGAAACAAGAGTATGTCACATTGATTGTCCAGTGGAATGCGGAGATCATTTGAAAGACAACGGTAGAACCCGCCCCACAACCGAGAGCCGTCAATGGAGCATGGCCAGACTAAATAATACATTTATTTAGTCTGGCTTGCCAGGCTAGGTCATCTGCAGACTGTAGGGCCTCTCAAAGAACAGGGAGGAGGTATTTAACTCTCTTCAGCAAACTTATGCTCATACTAGGTGTGTTTGCACAGGTAAAGTGAGTGATAGGGCAGGCAGTCGTCATCTAGACTCATCTGAGGCGTCATCAGAGGTATGCATGATGACATCAGGGAATCAGTTCCAGTTCAAAACGTCACTTCTGAGAGCCCTCCGGCCGTACTTGTATCTTCAGTGGGGCTGATCATCCAAAGTCTGATGTTGTTGGTGATAACGTTGGTATTATTGTGCTTAAGTTGTTATTGACTTCAAATGTGAGTGGAGGTGTGTTTCTCTGTAAATGTAAATAATTATCTTATCTGCTGTAGATAGCTTTGTGATCTGCCTTTGTTGGGAGAAATAGTGTGTAACTCCTTCAACAAAGAATAAAAGGTAAATCTGCCATCAGCAAGACTTATAATACCTGCATGAGAAGGGTGTGGTGCTAGACTGACAGCAGTTTGAAGGTTTGTGAAACATTGGCATAAACTTCTGTGAGATCTAGAAGATTCTAGCTGTTTTAAGGCAGCAGCAACACACTTTGCTGATGATTGCGCTGACTAACCACCGACACATTAGGAGTAAATTCCAGCTGAAGAAAAATAATCTTCCTTATTTGTCTTTGGGTTTTTATTCTCTCATAAACATTTAAATCAGCCAAAGGTTTATGACATGTCAGATCAAGCCAGATAACATGCCTTTCAACATACATGCTGTGATCAGGAAGTATCTGACCTGTGTCACACAGAAAATTTCTTTGATCTGCGCCACAACCTAAACACACGGCGACCGTCACCAATGACACTGATAAATATAGACGCTACGGGATACAGTCTAGATGACGTGTCCTGTTGACTGGGGTGCTGCTGTGACTGCTGATGGGTCGGTCGTGTTTCACTTTCTATTTATTTTGACATGCAGAGGGGAGCCAGACCATTCAGAGATTTGAAGACATACATTAAAACTTTGAACTGCGCTCGGTAGTGCACAGGGAGCCTGTGTAGATTGGCCAGTGTAGTGAAATAGAGTGATGTAACGATCTAGAGTTGTATTTTAATATACTGTAAGTAGATCACTTGTTATAATCAGAAGAATAGGTTGTTTTTATCATCAGGGAGTTCATTTAACACTCTGTATTGACCTTGAGACAAGAAAAGAGAGAGCTGGGATCCTTTAAGAATTTTATTATAAATTCTACTATCTATCAGGACTAACTCTGTGTTGTTTGGAAATGAATGTGATGTTCGATGTGTGTGTGTGTGTGTGTGTGTGTGTGTGTGTGTGTGTGTGTGTGTGTGTGTGTGTGTGTGTGTGTGTGTGTGTGTGTGTGTGTGTGTGTGTGTGTGTGTGTGTGGTTGGTTCAGACTCCTTAGGCTGACGCCATTGAATCTGGTAGTCTTTGATTGTTATGACTAGATATCACGAGGCTTATAAAGTGATTACATGAGCTGCTATTTTGCCGTGTACGTACCCAGTGGGGGGCCTCCCAGGTAGATCAGGAAATGCCAGGTCTGAAGACCTCGGATGAGCGCTGGAGCTGGTCGAAACAGCGGTCGCAGCGTTTCAAAGCCCGTCTGAAGGGTCGACCCAGGTAACAATCGGCAGCGTCAGCAGGTGCTCTTATTTTGAAAGGATGTCGTCTGGTTGTTAAACGACGAAAATCTCCAACTTCACAGTTCTTATTTTAAAGAAGAAAACACATCTGGCCAGGCTGTGCTTCTCTTTGGGATGACGGTGAATAGAACTGAAGTCAAAATGGAACTGAGCTTAAAATGGCGTTGCCTTGTTTTATATCTCTGAATTGTTGATAAGTTTTAGTAAAGCGGATTGGACACTTTAAGTCAACAAGCCAGATTCTCTTGCGGCAGCCGAAGGCTCTGATTGGTTGGAGCAATGTGTCATGCGTTGCCATGGGGATGAGTGTCAGTCTGTCTGTGCATGTTGTCCTGTTTACTCATTAAACACATAAATCATGACATCTTTATTTCACAGATCATTCACTTGATTATTATTGATCAACATATGTTTTGCTTAATTTTTAATCACAAATAAAGTACTTTGATTAAGTAAAAGCGTTCTTCTTCCTTCTTCTGGAATATAAACAGTCTGAGGATCAGACGACCTTGGCGTTTTCTACACGGGTGTAAATGTGTACAGGGGCAGCGTTTAGGAGCTGAAAATCATAACTTCTTAACGTTACACCAGCATGGGTGTAATGTGATGCCGTCTGTTTGAGTTTATAAGAAATCTTGCTGCGGCATTCTGGACTTTCTGTAGATGGTTGAGAGCGGATGCGCTTACACCAGTGAGGCCTGAGCTGGCATAGTCCAGTCTGGAGGTAATAAATGCATGAATATTAGAGCCAGGTGCAGTCTTTTAAGAATGGGCTTTAGTCAGGTTAGGCGACGAAGCAAGAAGAAACAAGATCTTACAGTGGCATCATCAAGCGTGGACATTGACAAATCGACATCCAGCTTAACCCCAAGGCTGGTCACACAGGGATTAAGGTGTAGGGAGGAGAAATCAAAGGCATCCTCTAGTTTTATTTTCTCTGGTTGTTAGCGCAACAGCAAACAACGCAACATCTGCCCAAACCGTGCAAGTACGCTTTTTGGGGGTGAATAAATCCTCTTCAAAATGTTCAAATAAACTGCTACTAGCAACAAAACCTCACCGTGCACGCCAGTGGGTGTGCGCTTCTTCCAGTATTTCACCAGTTGCTCAAATCATCGTTTCTCTTGGGTTCAGATGTAGCGTGTCAGGTAGGCCCAGATGCAGAGCTGCAAGACAGACACGCAGTGATCTAGGACACCTGGACGCTTCTCAAGTGGTAAAGAGGGTTAGTTATAGTAAACTAACATGACTGTGAGCACGATTAGTCTTTTTGGTTTGCTCCACTTTTGTCATTGTTCTCTCCATGTCTGTGTTTCTATCCTTGCTACTGTATGTGTGATCTTCACTGGAGTCCTCACACCTCACATACACAGACGTGCGTGCGTGCGTGCGTGCGTGCGTGCGTGTGTGTGTGTGTGTGTGTGTGTGTGTGTGTGTGTGTGTGTGTGTGTGTGTGTGTGTGTGTGTGTGTGTTTATTTTGAGGGGCTGACTCACAGAAGCCATGAGAGAAGCAGGGGAGTGGGAGGGAGCTGGCAGTAAGGAGAGAGAAAGGCTGAGGAGGGTGAGGGAGCAGCTATAAAAGAGAGGGCTGGAGCTGAGCTCAACAAGACTGAAACTCTGAAACCTACGAGATCACAGCAAGCTGGAGAGGAGTTTTAAAACAGATGTGCCTTCTTCAGCGTGTCCTGGTTGGTTGGCTCAACTTTAGATGGACTTTTGCTTTTTTGCTCCTGGTTTAAAGGTTTTTTTCTTGATACAAAATAAATTTATTTTGTGACTGTGAGATTCTTCTGGGTTACATTCAACTCAGATTAGATTTTATTTCACCTGGCCTCTGTTCTGCTATGGCTGCCGTGCGTCAGATACCGGTGGAGATTGGCGTCCGTGCGCTGCTACCCCACCTTATGGCCATGGAAGAGTTCCCCCAGCAGCTGCCTGTCCCCAAGGGTCTGGAAAAGGGCAAGAGCCGCTCCCGCCGACCTCGTGAGGCTCGCTTTAAAACACAGCCCGTTACATTTGCTGAGATTGCAGAGGTGGAAGAAGAAGGCTCGTCCCCCCTGGAAGAGGAAAGAGCTCGTCGCTCCTTTTTGCAGTCACTGGAGAACCTACGACGGAGCACACAGACCCTCCACTGCCCACCGGCTGCCCAACGCAGCTGCACCCCTACATCCACACAGGCCAGCCTGGACTCTAGTGACTCCGACTCCATCCAGTGAGGTCTTCAACACCTTTTTCTTTTGACTCTGACATTCCTCACGCTTCCCTTCAGATGGAGAACAACTGAACTGTGGCCTTCCCACCACCAGCCTGCTTGGGTCTCTAAACAAGTCAACACACAACTTCAAACGCACCAGCAAAGACCTCCGCCGTCAGCTGATCTCACCACCATTCAGATATTTTTATTATTATTATTGTGAAAACTTTTTATTTACGATGTTTAATTTCTCTCTGGGATCAATAAAGTTTATTTGAATTTGAAAATATTGTGCGTAAATGTAGCAGACACCATTCAAACCGATTCCTTTCCTACTCAAGACAAAAGTGTGTTCAAGTCCAGACTTTTCTACATGACCTCTGGTCATTGAAGGAACTTTTAATAATGTTATTATTATAACTTTATAACTTGTAATTACACAGAAAAAGCAAAACTACTGTGCATTAAAGTTGGCGTCTTCTTTGCTGAAGCTGAACCCATTGTGAAGCTTCATAGAGTCCGGACTCTTGTTTCACAGCTTCAGTCTTTTAAATCAGAGCTGCACCTTCAAGTTCTATACAGACAACCTTTCTAAATGTTTTTATTTTATTACTAGATATTTATTTTACTTTATTTGTTTAAAACCACATGAAGTTCTCGATGTAAAATATAACTTTTCATTTTGAACTGCTATTAAAGAGACTGACTTTTTCTTTGTGATTGTTTCACTCTATATATGTATAAAGATCATTTTCAATGAGTGTATTTTAATAAATATTTTCAAGTATATGATGAAGACATTATCTGGACTAGGGTTGTCACGGTATGAAAATTTAACCTCACGGTTATTGTGACCAAAATTATCACGGTTTTCGGTATTATCGCGGTATTTTTTAAACGGTGTTGCATATGTTCAGAAAGCATTGATAGTCCTGTTCTACACAAACTGAAATAGTTTTGAAAAGGTTTAACAGTGTTTATTAAACCTAAAATAACACAAAGCCTTAGCAAAAGTGCAACTTTTCACAAGTAAAGGAACAAATAGCTTCTTTTTCTGGAACATGTTACAGTAGTCAGTGCAGGTTTAAATTATACAAATCCAAACATTCGAAACATAAACAATATGTAAACAAATCAAAGAAACACCACTTGTTTTCTCATATACTTGTTTTCTTCATTATCAAAATGAAAATCTAAAACTCCAGTCCACACTTGACTTGAGCACTGTACAAGTCAACCTTAAAAAATATGTATTTAAAATAAATAGCCACTTTAAACAAATTACTAAAATAACTACTACACTATGTAATCAAATCCAAATGTTCAAGTATAAATGGCATTGAATAAGTAAACAAATCAATGACAAGGAAATAATTGTATATTTCTCTTCATCATCAACAAATAAGATGCTTCATCCAGCAACAGGGTGTCCGTGAGACGGTGTAAATGCTGGCAGAGGGCGCTGCGGCTACAGTATATAGTGACTCGTTGCATTCTCCCTCAGCCAAAAGTCCTCACGTCATGCATTTAAGCTAAAATGCAAATTTTAACTTACCTTGCACTGGCTGTAGAGACGTGGGTGATGGTCACGCAGATGTGCCATTCTATTCGAAGTGTTGCTGCCTTTTGCAGACACCTGTTTCCTGCACGTTCTGCAAACGGGATAGCCGTCTTCTATTAACTGTCCCTCAGCATTTTTCAGAAATCCAAAATATGCCCATACTTCCGATTTAGTCTTCTTTGAGGGCTGATGGATGTCCTGGGTGCTGCCGTCTCCTCCTTCGGCCATTATTTCAGCTTCAAAGTTTTGGTGCCGTTGCAAACTAAAAAGTACGTGTGCGCGCCGCGGGAACGTCAGCTGAAGCGACGGTGGCTGGTAAGGGTCACCGCGCCAAAACCACGGCCACGGTAAACCCACCGAGATAATTTAGTTTTTTAAAAACTGGACGGTTATTTTTATTGTCAACTTTTTTACCGGGGTTTACCGCTATACCGGTTACCGTGACAACCCTAATCTGGACCCTTCCTATTTAAAGTTCTGAATGAAAAAAAAACATTACAGTGAAACAGTCAGCACGAACATAAGTGAACAGAAATGTTAATGCATGAAACATGAGACATTAATATAAAATAGTCTCATCCTGATTACAGCAACAGCAGGAGACGACCTCTTCATCTCTGTGTTTTCATTAGGATCAGCCTACCTGCGTCTGCAGCTCGTCTGGTGACGCAGTTTTCTGTAACGTTGTGTTTTCATCAGCCAGCTCAGTACTTGTTGTTTACAGGCCTCACAAAAGGCTGATGTAGCTCCAAAAACAGCCTTTGCCATAATCCCCGTAGTGACAAATAAGGTGCAGAAACTTCCATTTAAGAATAAATGGCTGTGCTGAAAGAGAACACTTCAAGAGTCTTAGTTTTTAAAAATGCTTCAGCCTAGTGAATTAGACCAAGTTCTGGCCTTGCAAAGTAAATAATGTATTTATTTTGTCTTGCTTGCCAGGCGTATTCAATAGAACTGAACCAGATTAATTCTGATGAAGAATTTCTCTGGGGCTCCAATACTCAACATATCTTCATGCATTTTAAAAAGACTTAATCACAAAGGTCATCATTTTGAATCTTCTCTCTTTGTTGCACCAGACTTAATTTAAGGAAAGAATAAACATGGGATTGACACAACAAACACAAATTTTAATTTTGTTTCACCAAAACAGCTTTTAATAAGTAAAGGTCTGCAATACAGTGGTACCCCCGAGGGGTGGCCAGAATGGGTCATGGAATATTGCTGGCCAACCAACTACCCCTCCGGGGAATGGTAAATGGTAAATGACCTGTATTTGATATAGCGCCTTCTAGAGTCCTGGAACCCCCAAGGCGCTTTACAACTCAATCAGTCATTCACACACTGGTGGGGATGAGCTACGATGTAGCCACAGCTGCCCTGGGGCGCACTGACAGAGGTGAGGCTGCCGAGCACTGGCGCCACCGGTCCCTCCGACCACCACCAGCAGGCAAGGGGGGTTAAGCGTCTTGCCCAAGGACACAACGACAGCGACAGACTGAGCGGGGCTCGAACCTGCAATCTTCCGATTACGGGGCGAGCACTTAACTCCTGTGCCACCGTCTCCAGGGCGACCATGCTGCATCTCCCTTAACACTGCAGCTAGTAGTTTCCTACTCCTCCACCGTACAGGTTGAAAGTGGAATAACAACTGTTGTAAACAACACTTTTGTTGCTAGTCTAACGTGATGAAGGAGCTATTCCACCAAAGGTTATTCACCCTCTCTCCTCAGGAAGAACTAATCTGCATGAGACTGCCTCAAGGTCTCATGAATTTGCTTCTAAACTGTTTCCTTTCCAGCTCAAGAGAAGAATGAAGACAAAGGACTCTTTCTTTTAATAAATCAGAAGAACTCTATTTTTAATAAGCTAATCAACCAAAGTGTTATCCAATAATAAAATGTGAACCAATCTGTGAAATGAAAATATTAATTACTTGATATTATAATCCTATAGAACAGGGGTCACCAACGTGGTGCCCGCGGGCACCAAGGTGCTCTCGGGGTAACCACGGGGTGCTCGCAGGCTATGTTCTAAAAATAGCACTAGTCACCACTGAACTTGACTTGATATCTCCTTTTTTTTATTGTGTTGCTTTTGTTTTTGAGTCACAGTTGCATCAATGCTTATTTGAAAATGAAACTATTAACGAATAATTTTTAAGAACAAAAATATTTTATATTTTGTATGTTTTTATATTTTACCATCGACATATAAATAGTACTTTACCGTATGTGAATGTGGCAGTAGTGCAATCACATAGGCTGCAAGCTGTCATTAAAAACCGTAGAAGAAGAAGACGTAAACATGAACTTTCTTTGACCTACTAGTTCGATTCGGCGCGGCGTTAAGCTAGCGGGCGGGTGCTGTCCCAATGAGGAGCTGGATACCAACCGAAAATGGCTGAAAAACGAAAGAAAACATATAATTTTCATAGTGATTGGGAGGAGGAGTTCTTTTTTACGCTCGTGAGAGAAAAATGCGTGTGTCTCATTTGTGGAATGACTGTGGCGACAGCAAAGCGGCACAATGTGGAGAGACACTTCAGTACTTGTCATAAAAGCTACAATGCTAGCTACCCACCTAGCAGCGCACCACGGACAGAAAAAGCACGTGAGTTAAAGGCAGCTTTGGGCAAACAGCAGTCTTTATTCAAGAAGCCAGTGGAAAAGTCACAAAAAACAACAGAAGCGTCATTTAGAGCCACACATTTTTTGATTAAGAACAAGAAGACATTTTCAGATGGAGAAGTTTTCAAAGAAGCAATGATGATAATCGCAAAGACTGTATTTAAAGATGAGAAGAATGGAACCGATGTCATCTCCACTCTCTCCAACGTCCAACTGGGCGCAAGTACAACGGTAAAAAGAGTGACGGCTATGTCAGAGAACTTAACAGAGCAGCTGGAGCAGGATGTGGCAATATGCAAGTGGTTTAGCATCCAGTGTGACGAGTCTGTGGACTGCAGCAGTTCAGCACAGCTGATGGTCTTTATTCGTATGGTTTTTGATGACTTCTCCACTAAAGAGGAACTTCTGACATTACTGCCACTCCAGACAACTACAAGGGGAGTTGATATCTACAACGCAGTTAAGAGTTTTCTTGTGGAAAAAAAAGTACCACTAGAAAAGCTGGTGTCCATGACTACAGATGGGGCTCCTGCCATGATCGGCCGGCACGCAGGTTTCATCGCGCACTGCAAAGGTGACACAGACTTCCCAACATTTCTACATTACCACTGCATCATTCATCAGCAGGTGATATGTTCAAAAGTGACCGGATTTGAGCATGTGATGACTCCTGTTGTGAAGATCATAAATAGCATCCGTTCCAAAGCCAAACAGCACAGGATATTCAAAGTGCTATTGGAGGAGCTGTCAGCGGAATATGGCGACCTGTTACTACACACAGAAATCAGATGGCTCAGCAGGGGACGGGTTTTACAACGTTTTTTTTTTCACTTTTGTGTGAAATCAAGAAGTTCATGCAATCCAAAGGTGAAGACATCTCATTGCTGGAGGACATTGAATGGATACTTGACCTTGCATTTTTAACGGACATCACTGGGAAACTTAACCATTTGAACTGTGAGCTGCAAGGCAAAGGTAAAACTGTTGCTGACATGATAAGTGCTGTAAATGCATTCAAAGCCAAGATGAACATTTTCTCTGTGCATTTACAGAAAAAAAGGGTGCTGCACTTTCCTGCTGTGCAGTCAGTGCTGAATGACAATGCTTCTGCATCTGAGACTTTTGACAAAGTTGTTGACAAATACTCTGAAGTCATTAACAGACTTGGACAAGAGTTTGAGAATAGGTTTCGTGACTTTGATCAACTTGAGCCATGTGTGTCATTCATTTCCAATCCTTTTGTGCAAGTAGAAATTGCATGCATTGCTGAGCAGCTAAGTGCAACATTCAGCTTGAATGCTGGGGAGGTGGAGATAGAAATTATAACACTGCAAAACGACCTCCATCTCAAAGCCCATCAAAGTGAACCAAACTTTTGGTGCCTTGTGGATACAGAGAAGTACAAAGGTGTGTGCACAGCAGCTATGAAGGTTGCCTGCATGTTTGGTTCAACTTATCTCTGTGAATCAGCCTTTTCTGACATGAACTTCATAAAGAGCAAACACAGAACACGCCTTACTG